TCTGGATGTTGCTGCTGCTGTTGTTGGTTATTTTCATAACCTCCGTCTTGTCTATGTTCACCTGGAGTCTTGTTTTTGCTGCTTCTTCGACCAGTTTGTAAAAGTGATTATAATGAATTAATTTCTAAAAAACGACTAGGGAATTGATTAAAACCATGGTAGAATAGGCTGAGCAAACCTCTTCTCTACACTGAGTTCGGTCTTATGTTGACGAAACGCTAGCACCTCCGCTATAAACAAGTGTAGAAACATAATGCTGCCTGCACCATTCGCTCTCACCTTGTGGATAATTGTAAATGTCTTCTGTGATGGAGCTGCGTGACCTGAGTTCACTAGGTGTTTGAGAATGGAGCTGGTAATCGTCTTGCATTGCCTCTCCTCTTGACAACCATGCCGGATAATGTTTAGAGATGAGTTTGGTAAGTGTACGCTTTGGGCGATCGTCATTAAAAATCCCCTAAATCTTTATATAAAAGTTTAATTTTTTATCTTTTAGTCTTCTTTTATGATTAGAGTAGAGTATTAAAATAATAGAGAAAAAATGTTTAGCTCAGATGGATGATTTTGATGTGCTTGTGTTCTCTCACCTGGTTGGTATAATTGCAAAGCTTTCATTGTCATTCTAGATAACATCTTCAGTGCAGAATTTTAATATGAAGTTTGCTTATGTAAATTGAATTCTGTATTATTGAGGTGATTGGCTGTCCTGACGACCTTGACTGTGATTGGTTGTTAGTTCGCATTAGTAGTAATTGTTTTATTGACTTGGAATCTGAGTTTATTTGTCATGTATATAATATTTCTATAAAATAGAAATCTATAAAAATAATTTTTCACTAAAATTTATTTCATCTTAAATACATGCATTTATCAATCCTTTACAGTTATGGTAGAGTAGTGATAAGTGTTAATTGGACTAAAGATTGAATGAAGGGTTGATAATCGTTCTATTTTTTTTAAAAAAAAGTAGGTCTTGAGATTCTTTGCTATATCCGATTTCACTGTAGGATATTTTGTGATTGCACGGATGACTTTAAGTGAATTCTGGCCAGAATTCTTTAATCTATATTTACCTGTTATTATTAATTTAAGTTAGGCTGCATATTTAAACGAGAAAATGTTTTAGTTAATTGAATTCCCTTTTGGCTTTAGCAACGGTTAGTATCCATATATCTGAACTGTTGATTACATTTTTGCCTGCTTAGAATATATATTAAAAATCAAGATTGATCAACTGTCAGGAAGAAAGTCCTTCCCTTTGGTTCGTCAGTGCTCCATTAATATGGTCTGTAACTCTGTATTAATTTATTTATTGAATATATACCACACAGTGAAGCAGTATTATATACTGTGTGATGTTTCAAACACAGTTTATTATTTGAAGTCAGTTGGTGGATGGTGACTAGCAGTGGAATCCAGGATGCGTATTTCGTCCTATTTGGGACTCGTCGTCTGGATGTACCTGCATTCCCCAGTCAGTGAGTGATGGCGTCCTCACTGAGGCTCGAACCCAGTGCTGGGAAAATCTAATTAATAAGATCCGTTGCACAACAGATGGCTCTTGTAGCCAAAGTGGTCTAGTGGATAACGCTTTGGAGTTTGAAACTATGGGCACTGGCTTCGTGCCTCAGTGAGAACACCATCACTCACTGGGGAATTTAGGTATATCCAGATGACGAGTCCCAAATAGGACGAAATGCGCATCCTGGATTCCACTGCTAGTCACCATTCACCAATTGACTTCAAGTTACATGATCAGACATTGTCGAAGCGTCTGTACAAGGAGCCGTCATGTCAACTTGAGACGGAGGACTTCGGTCCAATCAATCGACGGGAAAATCTAAACTGAATTTAATCAGTTTATTATTTATAATCATATTAAGTGTAACTCACTGCTGAAACTTGATTTTTATGATCCTATTCCTTTTTGCTATATATCGTAATGGTAATGGAATTTTATGGATGTCCAGCGAGAAGTGGTGGTGCTATACACTTCTGATTGATTGATATGACTAGCTAGATACCACTCACATGAACCAGTAGTACCTGCTAGGCAGATCAAAGTGATTTCAACACCGGACGGTTGTTTAACTTGCCTAAGGATGACCTTATCAGCGATGTACCTGGCTTGGCTCAGCCCAGAGAGTTGATTTTTGGCCAGTTACTTGGATAATCTGGTTATACACTGGGTCTAGTTTGCAGTTTGCTTTCCTGATTACTATTCACGGTGTCGAGTAGTGAGCAACTGAGTAGTTTTGGATTCATAAGGAGATTGTGGTGAAATTTCACCGCCATCGAACTGAGTAAATTGTAAACCCAACAATTAATTTACAAATTAAGAATTTGGTCTAGAAGAGGCGTTGTCACTTTGTACCATCCTACTGTATGGTTGTGTTTAACTGCATGAAGTGCACTATAGGGGAGATTTTTTCTACGAGTTTAGATGTCACTAACATTTTTATGTTCCGCTTATCTAAGTGGACGTGGTCATTGGTAATCATCGGGAAACTGAAGGAGAATCATATTCCTCTTGAGTATGAAACCTGAAATACCCACTGCGTCGGTGGCACAGCGGTTAGGACTCTCGCTGACCATGCACATGGTCCGAGGTTCGACCCCCTACCGGCGCACACCTGATATCTATGGTTGGCCTGCAAAATTTGGGCTACCGATATCACATGCTGAAAATTCATCTTGTACCAAAAATACTGTGTGGTTTCAAGCTTTAATAAAAAAATACCCACTGTCGAATCCAAAGAATTTGCCAATGATTTATTCTGGTTATTGAGTGATGTACAGGGATCGGTAATCGAATGAATGGTAACCATTATGGTTAGTTATCTACTCCCAAGTGTCCAGTATGCTTAATAAAATAACATTGCTCAGTAGTGTCATGTCAGTTTGAGACACTAACATTTCTACATAATCCCCTACGAGTTTCGGAAAAGACTATGGGATAAGTAGTGGCGTGTTATATACAATGTTAGTCGATTTCTGTTATGAAAATCTGCAATTCTAATAGGTTATATTTATAATAATAATACCATATTCTATCCACCGATCAAAACAACCGACCAACCAACCAACCAGCAACCGACTTCAGTTTGGATGTGTCTACATTTTTTCCATATCAGATTTCGTCCATCACTCTGATTAGTTTTGTATCAGAATATAATTTGTTTATATAGTTATTGCGTTTATTGGTATAATAAACGACCATTTGCTTGATTGACTCTGTCTTTTTTATATATAGTTCCAGGGATTATCCAATATGCATTTGGAAGTTTTTTCGATTCTTTTTATGGAAACAGTGATTTTATTTCATTTATATATAAGTGTATATATTATCAACTGTAAGATAAACTGTATCGTTTTTTACATGCTAAATTTTGCAGGCTCTTTCAGTCAGCGGCTTATTATTATCTAGTCTTGTTTGCAGGAATTCAGAGAACAGATTATTTCTCTTTTGATATGAAAGTAATGCCTCGTTTTAGTATCATTTGGAAACAAATTTCACAATGTAGGTTTCATAACGAACCAACAGCAGTTAAAAATAATTGAAAATAAGGGAACGCTAGACAGCGGTTTCGCACTAGCTTGAGACTCTTCAATAGTGCGCACCAATCACCCCACTAGGGATCTGGTCCTATACCCTTACCTTATGAGGCTAAGCCTGTTAAGAATTCAGCCGTTTGGCGCGGAATTCAGTGTTCCGTCAGTTCTAACTTCTTTTGTTTATAATGTTTTCTGTGTAATCTGTGGATGACTGCCTGTAAAATGGCATGTTGTCATGTCAGCGAAGTGAGGGATCTCTGTCGTTGAAGTTCCACCCATAAAATGTTTGATAGGGAGTAGTTTTCAATAAAGAATGTGGGAAACTGTGGAGTGATTAGATAACCTGGTCTGTCCGTGATACTCCTTACGTGTTGGTTGCTAGTGTTTATGTTTCAACTGAAGTGTACTGAAATGTTGCTACTATAAGAAGAAAGGAATAATTTTAGGGCAATGCTTTCTACTAAAATGATTTATTTTAAGTAACGGTTGTTCTTCTCTTTGATATAGATTCATTTCATGAAGACTTCATTGATTACATTGGTTACTAGGACTTTCCGCTGTTATTTTAACGAATGTACTGGTCACTATCAGCCCTATGGACTAGACATTTTACCTTAATGTTGTAGGTCAAAGATCTGGTCCTTGAATTTCTATTCGTTTTTTTATCTAACCAATCACAACTCGACTTTTGTACACTAGTCTTTTGAACTGACTACATAGTCGGGACTTGTGGTCAGTTGTTTTTTCTTTTTTCCTTGAAGGAATAAATCTTAACTCCTCAGTCTGTCTTCTATGTCTTCTCAGTGCGGGTATTTTAAGTATTTGAGTGGTCACAGTCATAAAGTGTTGTGTTCAAGTACTATAGTGCTGTACTACAGTTCTCAACCAGTCGGTTGGTTGGAAGGAACCTAAATCAAGTATTACCCATTAACTTGAGTAACTATCAGTTATTCTGTTAAACCAGTGAATCTCAATACTACCATGAAGAATGCTATCCTTTACCTAGTTGAGACAGTGTTCTGTTTAAACACTCAAAGTTCCGTATATCATATAAATTCTATAAGAGATCTAGGTAGCTGAGTTGGGGTCAACTTTGCACAAAAGTCTTTTTCCAGAGAGATTCAACAACAGCCAAATTGGTGTGCATGTGCAAATTAACAAATTAACCGACTCCCTCAGAAAACTGAACCAAATTATACTTGTTGAATGACTCATGATTGGACACAGTTTTTAAAAACAAGTGATGTTCCTTTTATATATAAACCTGTGTTATGTTAATTTCGATTAGTTTCCCTGAAGAAGTTCGGACCAGATTGCCGAACGAAAGGCTGGAATTACTCATTTCAATCTCGCTGAGATTTTACAAATATAATTTTTTACAAATTAACAAATGTTTAATTTTATTTTTCAAGAAAACAATTTATACTACTTGTAAGTAAGTAAGTAACAAGTGTAAACAGAGTGAAATTTACGCGATGATCATTATTATTATTTATTCATTCATACACATGATGAATACGTACGTACATAAGATAAGATGAATCCATAGGCATAAAAAGCAGGTGTTTCTGTGTAAAATATTATTTGAATACAAGGAAAAGGAGAGAAAAAAAATCCACACTGAGACTATATATACTCCCCCCCAACATATCTTTAAATAAAAAAAAGAGTATGCTTTAGAATACACAAGATAGAAAGGACATTGTAGGGTTTTTTGAGTAGAAGACTTTGTTTGTTTATTGTTTGATCAAAAGGGTAAATATTATCCACACCAGTAAATAGGTTTACATATATGTATATATTTCTGAACAAAAGTGTCCATTGCACAATAACAACGACAAAAAAAAACACCAAAAAGAAAATTATCAGAGTAAAGAAAACTTAAGTGACCACAGTAGCGATACTCTCAGAAACAAAACAAAAAATGGCGACATCGACAATAATAATAATAGCAATAATAATAAAGGTCACAATGAACATTTATATACCTTAGAATAAATGACAAGAAGACAATTTGGATGAGATGGTCGAATATTAATGTGAGTAATATTTAAAAAAAAAGTGACAACATATTTTCGGTGTTTTATTGTAAAGCAAGATGTCGATCTCAGATATCAGACACTCCAAAAAATATACCATAAGGACTTAAAACAATAAAACAGAAGTGTAAAACTTTTACACAGTACAGTAAATAGCTGACTATTCTCTTATATTAGAGGAAAGAATATGAAATTAGTAGCGGAATAAAATAAGAAAAAGTGAATTGTGCCTGATTAGCGAAAGAAAAAGCCTTCACAAATAATATTTAGAATGAATGAATGCGATAGAGTGGTGGGAAAAACAAACACTGAAAAAGAGAGAGAGAAAAGGAAAAGGGATTGTAAAATAAAAAGCTGGGCGATGTAATGCTGGAATCAGCTTTACACTATGTGTTAGGGTACAAAAGAAAACAAAGTTAAATTAGATATTACATAAATGTATAAGAAAATGTTTCTCAGGTAGTTTCACACATGTATAAAGTGGTTATTGCTGATAGATCAAAAGACAGAAAGAGGATGGAACGAAAAAGACACAATAGAAGCTTATGCACCTTCAGTATTGAACAAAACGAAGCTAAAGGTTGTCTTTTGAGTATGTTAGAATGCAATATCAATAGTGATGAGTATTTCTGTAAGTTGGAAAAAGGAGGGGGAGGAGGGAGGCGTAGAAGCAGGAAAAGAAAAACCACTTACAGTGGAATAGTGTTGCTACACAAGTACCAACTAACTGACTTATCTATTATTAGAAGGTTTCTTATAAATAGACAGATGTAGTAATAATAATATTAATAATGAAATAATAATAATAATATTAATGATATATTTTTGACTATTGATTGATTCTGTTTATTTATAATATATATTAGGGCTTTAAATGTGGATAAGTAGTTCGAATATAATTGACAATTGATTCAGCTGAATGAACTGGATCACATTCAGAAAATATATGACATGTACATTCACTGATTCCTTTACGAACAACTAATCCAAAGATTCTATATAATATATAACAAAAAGATATATACATATATATACATGTATAATGACATAAATAATTAATTATTTAATTAACAATAATCAATATTTATAATATACATTATGTTCATTCATTCGAATTCATTATTGCATGGTCTATTTATTTATTGATTGCTATCATTACACATATGCATATACATATATATTTATCAACTGGAATAACTGATTTTTGTGATATATACCACTAGATGATTATTTGAATAAAAATAGATTTATTGAAGATATAATTATAGAATGACTTTTAAGGAAGAAGTGAAAATCAGTAGTTTTCTACTATCGCCAGTTATTTCACCTATAAGATGTATATTGTATTGAAATCTGGCGAAGTTAAACTTTAAGCACCAGTAATTATGAGTGGTGTGCGGCCGCGACAATGTCCTTGAATTGCACGCTGAGCAAGTTAATGAAACCTGATAAATAATATTATAATCATGTGTAAAATAAGCTTAACGGAATGTAATGTTATTAAATGGGATATCTCGAAAGTTTCAACTCAGGCTCGGCAAAGATTAAGTTACGATTTAGGCTGACAACAGGTTAGAGTTAGGTTAACACGTGGCTCTAAACTAGAGCATCCCAAAAACTCCAGCGACCAATCAGATGTGTCGGAAGTAGAAGTGCGTAATTTGAAATAGACGTCTATATACAAGTAATGCAACGTTAAAAAGTGGCTACACAGGACAGCATCCTCGTATATGTTCCAAGGAAACCTCCCAATTTCTCACAGGAGTCCTCATAGTTGAGTTAAACCAATTTCCGTGCATAAATTCGTCAAGGTCATGAATCCGTTCATTGTGTATTTTCGTTTTCGGTTACCATAGTTCAGAGTCACCGTTAAGGTAAGTATTGAGGTTAGGGTTAGGATCAGAGTCATCAATAGGATTAGGGTTAGGTTTACGGTTAGGATAAAGGTCGTAATCAGGGTTAGGATTAAAGTTAGGGTTATGATTAGGGATAGATTTAGAGTTGATGTCATTCTCTTGCCTTCAAATGACAATACCCTATGCAGTAAATAACCATCCCATTTATTTTCATTACAGTCAAACTTCTCTGTGTGTTAAAAAAATATTCTAGCATAACTAACTGCTTATTAAAGTTAGGCTGTTTTCAGTTGAGGAATACTCAAGTACGGAACTCGCCTTAATGGCTGTTAGAACAAGCCAACACTTAAGAGTCATAAGGTTGTTTGAATCAAATTTTCGGACACATATGAAGTTATTATAGCATTAAGGAGATATTCTGGTCTAGAATGTATATTCAGTTACGGACAACTGGATTAAAAATGTCAAGTTTTCCTGATGAATGTGGAATGAAAAACAGTATTTGAGAGTTTTTTCTCAGAGTTTAAAAAAGTGCTGATCAACTCGAAAATTGAAGTGGAAAGTGTATTAAAAGTCCTAACATCCAGTTTTGCATAGTTCACCTAATGCGTACCTAAATTAGTCAGGTGAATTCGAAATTCTGAGACTAGAGGAATATCAAAATTTCAAGGTGTGCCAATGAGAAAAGCGTTGAAAATCGAGAAACTTTTTTTCATTTTATCTTTGTGTGCTTTGATACTGGCGGATCAATGACCTCATGAAATACTGAGTCGATGACCGTGAGGTTACAAGGTAGCTAACTTAGTATTCACCTATGCCTCATAGCCTAAGTGTCCATAATTTCTTATGAAAATTTGTTATGCCGTAAGATTTTCAATGATACAAACTTAGAAGCTTAGAAGTTGGTCAATGTTAGTAGCTCCCAATTAATTTCAACCCGTGAAACTCATAAATTAGAAAAAAACCCTTATTCGGATAACAAATGAACCACATTAATACTAGTAGTAGTTAAAAAGAGTACTGATGGATAGCGTAAACAAATATGATGGGATTTGATTGATAGTGCCTAACAACGGGAATCCACGAGATGCATTTCGTCCTATTTGAGATTCTTCAGCCGAATGTACGAGATGCAGCTACACCGAGATGACGAGCCCAAGATGAGACGAAATATGGAATTTAGAATTCCACAGCTAGTCAATATAAATTGTACAACATCATGAAGTTAATCTTCAGAGAGTCGAAAGCGTCCATGCTGGCAGCCCAGATGTTAACACAGACTAAACATTTATGTCCAATATAATCAATACAAATCAGCTCTAAAAAAGTGTGACAAAAGTATTCTAAGTATTGATTGTAATTAAACAAGACAAAATTGAAATCTGAAACAGACTAACTTAATGCAAATTCGATGCAAAAATTTATTAAGTAAAGAAACAGTCAATAACAAGTTTAACTGACTTACTTTGGATTACGTATGCCAAGATTTTGATGTTCAGGGTGAATAAATCTAAAGTTAATTAGAAACAAAATAGGTAATAAAAAAAGAGAAAGAAAGAAAGAAAAGAAAATAGAGCACATCAATCCTTTGTCTAGCGCAGGCATGCATGTCTTAATGACATTAGCGCGTTGCACACAAAATTTGTTTTAAGCATTTATTGTTATTATTACGATTATTTGAAAAAAAATTTTATTTTCATGTGATCTTGTTTTTAGAAACATTTTTTTCACTAGTAATTTTTATTATTCATGACTATCCGTTTTTACAGTTTTAGGGATGAGTAATCGATATCATCGTCATCATCATTTATGAGCTACGTGTATGTATGTCATTATCGAGTGACATATAACAACAAATGAGACTTAACGTCAGTGATTAGTCTGTTTCTTTTATAATACGTGCTATTCTCTATGAGATGGCATTTTTGTACTAATTTAAGCATAAAACATACAAGTCTTAGTAGATAAGTAGAATTTACCCTTCTCCCTCTCTCTATGAATACAGTCTAGACACGAAGCTATACAAGAAGGTCACAGTGGCAAAACTATGGGCGCCGTTGAAGGCTTTACCTTTTTCGTTTGGTAATAATATCTTATAGTCTAGACTGCTTGTTAAAATGTTGCATTACGGCTGTCAGTTATATTTTACATTAGAGTGTGGGGTGATGATTAGGAAAGCTTTGTGTGATTATGATATTCTGTGGACGGTTATTACTTCTCGTCTACTCACACACAGTGGAAGCAGACTTCCTCTCAGGATGTCTGAAACAGGAGTGATTGCTCTGCTTCATCTCAGAGTTCAGGGAACAACTGCTTAAAGCCGGTCACATGCAACTGTTGTGGATATTATGGCATCAGTCAATGAAATCCACAACAGTTAGTTTAAGCCAGCCACGTAGGAAGGTTTAGGCTTCCTGGTTGTGGTCGTCGGGACGGTAAACACCAATGGCTGAAGACAATCGGTGATATGGCTCAAAATTGTTCTTAATTGTGACTTATAATATCCAATAAAACTATATTGTTCTTCGATATTACTACTCTTATTGCCTCATATCTCTGTTTACTGTCTCTATTTTGCATTTCTTTCAACTTTCTTCACTTGCTTTGTGTTCTAAGTGAAGTGTGGTGACTCGAACTGCTGTACATTGGTGCAAAGTCCAGTGTTGAAACCAGTCAGTCATTTAGTCAGTCAACATGTTTGAGTTAGTTTTAGAAGTTGTGTTTATATTAAGATCTTATCTACAGGAACGGATTACCGAAAGATAAGTTAGGATGTAGGATTTTTTTGGCTTGATGTTTTCTAACCCCTCGTTCACAGGGTGGAAAGCCAACATAGTTAGTTGCCTTGCTGGTCATCTGAAGGAGACAGACTTACTGCTATTACATCCCTATTTGCCAGCGGTACGACTTTACCCTCAGACTCCCAACATAATGTACAACGGCTTATACTGTAATGATAACTGCTTTTAGCTTAATTGCTACTGAAACGGCCTTTCTGATATGGTAGAGCCTGCAATTCCATTCAGTGTAGCTCGTTAAATTATTGGTATATATAAGCCTAACCACTCAATCAGTGTAACATCTATTGGCCGGGGCATTAGAGTCTAAGATACATAGTAAGTGAAATAATGAGATCTGTTAGGCTTTGTAAAACTAATAACTAAATATCTGAACTTCATAATGAGGTTAACTAACTAAGTGTAATATGTACACAGTTATAATTGTTTTTTTTTCATCATGGCGTACGATACAGAGAGTTATCAATATAAGAAAAGTTAATCACAAAGTGTGTTAACCTTTTTCACTAGGACTCCTTATCATACAGATGACGAGTGTTCGTTAATTAGATAAATTTAATTGTCAATGGGTTTAATGAATAGTTTAATGAAGACATTTAATTAATTCAAACATTTGCTTACTCTTTTCTTCGAGACTCTACACCACAATATAATAATACATTATTAGGAAGATGTCGTCGAAGGAATAAACGTCTTAACAGATCTATAATTGTAATTCCATCATGTGGACTGACATGCAACTGAATATCTGAATATCGTACACGACTAATACCATGATCACATTCAGATGCTGTTAAAGTTTCCAATGGAATTAACTGATCAACTGCTCTTGAGAAACAAAGTTCATTATTCCATTGAGGAGTGTCAACTGATCCCAGCATGAAACATCGATAAGCTATAGTAATAAAAAATTGAAATAAACACACACATTAAATTGCTACTGATATGCACATAAGTCTACTTTTGGTCAGGAAAAAGCAACAACTGATAGGTGGCATTATATAAATCAATAAAACCAAGGAATTTCCCATATAGCTTTACATGAGCCCCACACTGAGAATAGAAGTCGTAGTTCGTATATAATGTGTGGTACAAAAATATCCATCTCTAAACTTCATGACAGATTGTAAGACTAGCACTCGTAAGACAATGGTTTCCAACTCAGTTCCCGGAAGGAGTCTTTTGTGTCCCAGTCTATCAGCCACATTCACTGTGTGAAGACAGGTGGTACTACTCAGCTGCCAAGGTGGTAGTAGGTGAAATGGGATTCGAACCTGGGACCTGTCGAATGGAAGTCAAGTGCTTAAGCTAGTCGTCAGCCACATCTCCACAGCAAGTGAAACAGAACTATCTGAAACTTTAAGCTGGATGGCTCTTTTCATTTAGAAAGTTTTCAGTTACATTAGATAAAATAATCCAGAAACCTGAGAAATACTGTGCACAAAAATAATCCAAAAACTAAAACATACAGAACACTGATGAAATTTAATGAGGGTGTTTCTCGAGAAATTTACCGTAGACTGAGCTAAACAGACAAGTATTAAAATAAGAGAAAACTTTAGTCATTATGAGTTGATCACGGATTGTTATCAGTTAGAGAACCATTGAAAACCAGGGAGTACTGGATAGCTGTTTCATCCTAGCTCTTTGGGAATCATCGACAGTACGCACCCACACCACGGGGTTCGAACCCAGGACCTTCCGGTTACAAGGCAAGCTCGTATACCATTCAGCCACTGGGACCCGATTCAGTGGCCAACCCATGAATTCTAACTTCTACCAATTCGTGATTTAGCGCGACTGGCACCAATCGATGTCATCGGTGGGAACTCCATCCTCACACTTGACTGGGTGGACCTCACTGGTCACAACTTCTCACTAGATTTCCAGGAAACTCCTTTCTGTAGTCATTGGTTGTATGAAAAGATTTCCATGATTTTTCAAGTATGAGGCTCAATTCACTTCAAGACAACCTTTATGTTGTCATCTAGGAATTTTCAGAATACATCTTTTGTTAACCTGATACTCTTCACTAAATTAAATTCACAAACGCTTCGCCTAGATGATCTTTGATTTGTCGAGTTACTGGGCTACAGTTCAGTCAGATATTCTTAATCAAATATATATATCAGGTGACCGATTTGTAAGCATTCACACGATATATATGCTCTAGCAGAATCATCTTTTAAAGCCATCTACACGGTAAGGCCGAATGATACAAGGGATTTTATGTTTCCACACTTGTGTATGGCGTAGGGGCGATTCGTCAGTATAACCAGGAACTCTTTGTACAGAAGTTTGTCCACTCTCTTATTTTACCTTGGTCCTAAACTCTTCCCCATTTGTTTACTTCCATTTAACATAAGTAATTCACTTTTATCGCCCTTACATGTCCTTTTTATGCATTTTGCTAGGTTTTTTCTCTCACCTTCTTCATATTTGTCAAGTAGACACTCAACCTCATTGTTTCTCATCTAATAATAATTTTTACCTTATTCAATTTAAAACCCTTACTTCCATTGTGTCAGTGATTATTACGTGATTTCCTTTTCTCTTTAGAAACTACTTCTAAGGCAGCAATAGACTGCTGTACGTTTTTAATAAATATAAGTACTACTGTACAGCCTTTGGAGATGATTTTGTTGTTGAGGGAAAATTTCTCCACTGAGTTGTCTTTTATTTTCTTCACAGTCCAGCGAACCTTAAATAACCCAGTGGAGTCTAATTTAAAATATCAAAGATGTGTATGCAGACTAACAGTTAAATGACCAGAAAGTGAAGGCTACAAAAATGTTGGTTCACTGATAATTACTACAATGTCACATATCTTTCGCAGTACATGGAACTTTTTGTACTGTAACCTCGAGTGATATATTGGAAAAGCGTAAGCAGAAGACAAGCATATAAGTCATCAGTACAGTTTTTAAACGATCTACGTTTTGGGGAAGAATTTTAGGTCAAACTTCTGTGATACTAATTTTTCTTCAATATACAAAAATTTTACTGGAATCAATCCTATTAGAAGTGGCTGAAGTTTCAGGTCATGTGTCATTGAGACATCAGCTGTCAGTAACTGATGAAGAGTTTAGCTGTTACAGAATCTCACCTAAAGCCCCATAAACAGTTTCAGTTCATAAGTTATGACTACTAGGACAAAATAGGATAATTAAAAAGTAAATTTATTATTCAGTATTTGTTTGGGTAACATGTAAGTTAGTGTTCTTAAACAGATTTTTACATTTCATCACCGACAGACATGGAGTACTGGGCAATTGATTCATCCTAGTTTTCGACTCTTCACCACTACACACTCATGAACCCACTAGGTTTCACACAGAGGGCCATTAGTTTGCTAAGGGAACAAGTTACCATCCAACCACTGAGACTGAATTCAAAGGCTCATGAATTATAACTTCAATCAAATAGTGAATAAGTTTATCATCTGAACTCAATCAGCTGTTACTTTTATCTTTCAGCTTTATATTTATTATTATTGTGCCCTTGGGTTCCGAGTGGAACATAGGGCTTCAACAACACATCTCCGCTTTGTCCTATTTTCTGCCATCCTCTTCAGCTGGGTCCACAATTGACCATAATCTCTCATCTCCTCCCCACAAGATCTCCTCCATGTCACCCTCGTACTGACGACCCACTCGTCACTTCCCATTAGGATTCAATCCCAAGGTTATGCCTGGCTCGCGATGTTATTCCATTATGGGTAAATTTTATTTTGATAAAGTCTCACAGTGTTATACAGTATTATTTACTGATGACGTTTCGAGCACAATTTATTGCTCATAATTATATCACCTTGATATGATTATGAGCAATAAATTGTGCTCGAAACGTCATCAGTAAATAATACTGTATAACACTGTGAGACTTTATCAAAATAAAATTTACCCATAATGGAATTACACTCTACCACAGTGCACAAGTTTTATTCTTATATCGCGATGTTATTCTACGATCTCCTCAGTGGCGTATGACCAATCTGTCGCCATTTTATTCTGCATATTTGTTGAGCAATCACCTCTTGGTTGGTTTGTTGCCAGAATTTCTTGTTGCTAATTCTTTCTGGCCATTTGTTCTTCAATATGGGGCGAAGGCAGTTGTTGATAAAAGTCTGAAACCTGTTGGAAATGCTTTTCGTGATGCACAGTGCAAAATTTTGTTCCATACAGAAGAACTGAGTGACTTGACATGAGTGTTGTAAGTCCGAATCTTGTTGTTTATGCTGAGGACAGGAGATACCCAAACTGATTTTAGAGTGATGAAGGTGTATCTTGCTTTTCTTCATCCATTCCGACTACCTGTCATTGAAACGATGCTTCCTAGATAAGTGAAGGAAGTAACCTCTTTCATGTTTCTCTCACTGATAATGATTGATGCTGGTTGTTCTTTCAGCTTTAATCATTATTTATTAGGTAAGTATTTAGTTTTGCATGAATGCTAGTCTAATTGAAATGTCACATTTATAAACAATGAAAAAAAGTGTTATAGATTAAAACTTACTCATTCCTTGATTGATTAGACTTGGTGATGTCATTTGCTTATGCTGGTCATCTTTAACTACGCACTCGAACGGTAGACCATCTATGCCGACTGTTGAATTGTCTACAACTGACTTTGTACAGTCTATTTCACCGTTATCCATAACAACAGAACCCATTTCAGAAATTGGGCCAGTAGCATTGTTCACTTTTGAAATAGACTCATTGTGAGACACAGAAATATGATTACTCATCGGTATTTCAGTATTATTATTATTATTATTATTATTATTATTCGGTGGTATACCAGTCACAATTTGTGGTGGAGTTTTATATCCTTGCGGTAGAGGTGTAGTTGGAATGGCTGGGAGAATTAAACGACACGGTAAAGCTAAAGCATCCTGTGTATGTCGATTGATAAGAGCAGCTAAGCTTGGGAATACAGGTTCACTTGCAAAACCTTTTAGGCGTACACCTTTAGTCGGTGTATTCACTGCTTCAATGAGATAATGTCGAACTAGTTCAGATTGTAGGTCATCTGCAAAAGTATGAACAAGAAACGTAAAAGAGTTATTGTAACATAACTGAAGGATCAAAAATATATTGTTCTTTGAATTACGAGATTTAGTTTTACAATGAATTAAAAAATAGCCATGCTGCCACGGTTATATCCTCAGGGGATTTAATTAAGATGAATCACTGCAGACAACTCAAACTACGACTTACTGTATACACAGGATAGGTGGGATGGAGACTGTAACTAAGATCACGCATTAATACCGAATGTTGGCAGTCATATAATCTGAGAATCGCTAATAAAGTAAAGACGGGTTTTTGTAATATACTTTTTAGTCTGACTTCAAAGAGGCGCTTTAAACAATAACAAATTGATGTTGAAATCTACTCTAACTCACTGGTATATTCTCAAGTAGTAGAGATAATAGATCCGATAAACCTGAAGTTTAAACAGTGAATAGTTGAATATGCAATACTCAAACACTGAGTAGCATTTTTGATTGCACACTAGTCAGTAACTAGTGTAATGTGTCTAGTCCTATCTTCGGTGCAGACTGAATTCTATCAGTCATGCTTGCAATGTGGCCACCATGCTAGGTGGCTCGCCATTACGGTGCACTATGAATTGTTGGTATTAGGTGGTTGGAGGCAATCGGCCACAGGAAGCCTTGCTTGACCTAGGTTTCGTGCTAGTTGGCACTCATCAGCAAGGCGTATCTGCAACCTTGAAGGAACTGATGTCCCTTCTGAGATTCGAACCCGCGTCACCCAGTGCTATAGTCAGAGACGTTACCACTGAGCTATTCAGGCTCGCGACTGACCTCCTGTAGGACTGTATTGGATATTTTTGATTCATTAAAATAACTCTTGTTTTAATTATTTTTTCCATCCTTTGCACTGCTAGTGGAATATAGGGCTCCAGGCTTCAAGTCGAGAAGTCTCAGCATTTGCGGTGTTGTTTTGTGGTGTGGGGTTACTAGCCTCACATACACAACCTTCCCTCTCCCCAAAACTTACTATCAGTTAGTATACTAGGCGACATATAGGAGTGCATCATCTGGGAATAGAATCCGAGACCACGTGCGTGCTTGGGGAGCATTCCACCATTGAACTACCGACTCACTGTCTTAGTTATAGATTACTTCATATAATTTTTATGAGTGTCATTAAGTAATAAATGCAAGTTCAGGATTTCCTGAGCCTATGAGGCGTGTACCGTGATGGTGACTCACCTAGCTTGATCACCATATTCAGCTCAGTCATTACTGAGGTCTAGGTAGGTGGTACTGGTCACTAGTTGAGTTAGTTAACTCACTGTCGATGAATGATTAGGTCAAGTGCAGTTCACAGAATTCATTTATGAATAATCAAGATTATCATGTGCTCGGATCAAAGTTGTGTCTTAAAGCATAGTAAGAGTGAGATTACTTGTAACTCTCAAGGTAGCATAAGTGACTATTGTTTTGATAATTTTTTGTTGATTTTAGAAAAATAAGAATATAAACCTATTCAATCATATTAAAGTGGACAAAATAACTAGACATAAAAATAGTCAAGACAGTTGGAAATTGTGACAACAATTCGATTTAACAGAAATTTGTTATAGTATCCTTCTCGCAATGTCTTCTTCGATGAGTTACTGCCTCATCTTCAACCTGGCGGAAGTTAGAATTCAAGGACCATTGGATCGGGTCCCAGTGGCTCAATGGTCTACGAGCTCGCTAGCCTTGTAACCAGAAGGTCCTGAGTTCGAACCCCTGCGGTGGGTGCGTACTGCTGAGGAGACCCAAACTAGGACGAAACAGCTGTCCAGTACTCCCAGGCTTTCCAGTGGTACTCTAAGTGAAGTCAGCTCATGATGAAATCCTCCATGCAATCAAACAAAATCCCTACAAAACCAATACTTGAAAATTAATCTGATGCTCACTAGTGACTGGCCTTATTCAGGCAGTTAACCTGGGGTTCTAGTGGGAAGCCGTGACCAGTAGGATACTATAGTATCCTTCTATCTAAAGTTTGAATTACCAAAAGCCTTGTCCATTGAGACAAGTGTTCTCACATACAGTTTACTTGTTACATTATATTAGTAACCTAAAAAGAAGACCTAACTATAGTTTTTTAATTTAATATACTCTATAAAAACTATGACAAGATATTGTGGCCTATTTCTAGGATGGAAGTAGACCAACTTTCTGCCTGCCATAGTATCAATTTATTAGATGAAAAAAGGAGGCAGGTTTTTGTTGTTATTGTTGTGTAAATACGGTTCTTCCAGGCTAGATAACTCACTGTCACAATGAACATGAAAATCAGTTAAAGGTTATCAAAAAAGAGCTCCTATTCCCAAATTTTGGTGCGTCGGTGGTATAGCGGTTAGGAAGCTCGCCGACCATGCACATGGTCCGGGGTTCGATTCCAGGCCGACTCATTCCTTTACCTCGCTAAGCCAGAAATGATGCTGGTAAAGAGGAAAGGTTGGGCATGAGGCTAGCAACCCCATCCTGTAAAAATAAACACTGCTACAGAAACTTCAAGCCACTCGCTTGAAGCCCTATGTTCCACTGGGGAACGTGAAGGAAAAAAAAGTCCCTAATTTTAGAAGAAATCTTTCCAACCCACATTTCAACAATTTTGAAGTAAGTATTGTTGTTGTTTCTGCTGCCTAGTACGACAATGAAACTTTAGCTGTGAATAATATTTTCAGATCATAATCATTTGTTACCAAAGAGACACTAATAATACACATAAATTTGCTCCCCAGAAAAAATACCGCTGGAATTATTCACAGAGATAAAGACTTTACTCAGCATGTCAACGCTTTGAAAAAAAGAAAGCGAAATGGTGTGTGCTAGCATTTTTGTAGGAAAAAACAAACAAAACAAAACTACTTCAGTTCAGTGAGTTGACTAAGCATGCAGTTTTAAGTGTCAAAAGGGCAGAGTATGAAAACAGTCGACACGGAATGAAATGGTCACATGCCAGGTTATCGGATACAATACTGTCCTGCCAACATACAGCGTAACAGTTCTGGATACAATGGAAACCGATTACTAACATGATGTTTATAATACCCCTATCAATGGGAATATGAAGTACAAAGTGTATTCATGTTCATCAGGCATGTCTAATGATAAGAAAATACATGAGATATATTGTGATAAATGCATCTGATAACTAGCTGAGTTGATATATAGCTGTGAAATGAATACAACAGGTACCAGTGTACCTGAATAGTTTAACAACCTGAGGAGATCTACTCGACGAAAAAAGATGTAGTTACTTTGTTTATACAAGAGCAAGGTATAATCGTGCAGTGTTAAAAAAACACCGGTTTTTCAAAACACCAAGAGAGCTGGTGAAATAGTGCATGCAAGCTGTCATGCATTGAAAAAGTTCACTATCTGCACTTAAGTCATCCTAATCCTGTTATATACACATCTAAGTAACTGAGTCAAGGTTTACTAAAGGCTGTGAACAAAAATGAGTATGATTAACACATCTTTGTTACATGTGTCAAACTTGAAAATAATCCTATAGGGCTGATTTGTGTCGATTCTAATTTTGAGGATGGAAAGTAGGCCTAACAGAATGCATAGATTGGTTTAGATAATTTGAAGAAGTGGTATCGGCTGCAATGGGCAGGGTTTGTGAAAGAGGACAGTAAAGAACCCATCCAAGTGAGATAGATGGTTATAGTTGAGAGATGTTCTTTTAAAGTAAGGTGAAAATGTTACAGGTTTCTGACAACAGTTGTCATCTTGGAATTACTTTCTTGTGGGGAAGTTACAGAATTATGTTGAGATTTGAAGTAGAATATTAAGTAAGTAAGGAAAACCAGTAAGTAAGGTTGTGAATCTTCATCAGCTGACGTGCTCCGGACATGTCTTATGAGTGTTGAACAAGTATTAGCCTAGGTCACATCAGAATACAAAGCATTTGGGAGTTATCGAAAAGAAGATTGTTGTTCTGAGCAATGAAAGAGTGTGCAAGTTAGTTTATTAAGTTCATGAAGATGTACCGAGTTTATTATTGGTAGTCTTATTTATTCTATAGATTTTGAGTGGAAAATAGGACTTAAGCATCACATCTGCATTTTAATCTTCTCTCTACTGTCTTTTCTAGTTGACTCCACGATTACCTGCAAGCTCTAGTTTCCCCTTCACATTTTTTTCTCTATGTCACCTCCTAACACTCAACCCATCGCTTCCCATTTGAGTTCCACTCGAGGATCTGGGGGTGTAATGTTACCTGAAGGTTTCCTCAGCGTATGCCGAATCCATCTCCATTCCCTTCAGCATATTAATTGAGCAGTAGGTTGTTGGTTGGTTTGTTGTCACAGACAGTCTTTTTTTTATTATCATTTCACGTCGTTCATCTGTTCCGAAGTATGAAGCGAAGGCATCAGGTGATGGAAGTCTGCAGTGACTTGTTGAAAATGCTTTTCGTGAGGCGTCAGGTCTGTAAACCATATAGACGAAGTTGATATCGGTGTTGAAAATTCGGATTTTATTCCTTATGCTGAGTGCTGTAGACCTCTGCATCAGTTTAAGAGTAGTGCCTTTGACATCTTTATCTGTGCTACCTGCAGTTGGAACTGCCTAGGTAAGAGATATAGGCCACTCCTTTTAGATTTCTTCTGTTGATGGTGATCGATGCTTGTTCATCGTACCTGTTGCCTCTATGGTTACATGAAGTCCTCTCACTGTTGCCTTACTCTTCTGCCAGCTTGTTGGTTTTCTCCTGTACGTCCTCAAGTTTGTGTGACATTGGATATGAAAAGTCATCTTCGAAGTTCAGATCTTCTAAAGTCTTATTGTCGGTCCAGTGTATCCTTGCCTTCTCTCTCCCCATGGTATAGAGTTATCAATTAAAATCCATTATACTAATATCTTTGATATTAATTAATTCAGCTAGAATCAGTTTTCGCCTCCTTAGTTTTCAACAATTCCATTCATCTTCATTTAACCATTTTCTTTCTTTTTACGATAATATCAGTTAACAGCAGAATGATTCTGTTTTTATCCTTTCATTCGTCAACTATTTAAAATTGGTACATTTCTGACGAAGTTACCGGTGTACGGGACACTATTTTATCCCTGTATAACTTTCTGCATGTAGGGTTTCATATTAATACGGATGAGAGATTTTGAATCAGAGAGTGTACAATGGAATGATTATTTTAAAAGGAAAACCTCCCTGCTAGATACAATTTCGAGATATAAACTCAACTACGAGCATTATTGCCAACTGACATCGCTAAGTCTAAGAAACTGCTGAGAATTGAAAAAGTTTCTTTTGAATCCCACATGCATTACATCATGTTGCTAACCACCTGGCCTCTATGCGAAACTTAAATTTTGAGTTAGCTGTGGCATAGCGGTTAGGACGCTCGCCGACCATGCATATGGTCCGGGGTTCGATCCCCGGCCGGCGCACTCCTTTACCTCACTAAGCCACTGATAAGATTGCTAATGAGGGAAGGTTGGGCATGCGGCTAATAACCCCACCCTGTAAAAAACATCACCACTGCCACTGAAATTTCAAAGCTGGTGCTTAAAGCCCTATGTTCCCCTCGAAATTCAAGGGAGTCAACATATGATAGCTTCCTCAAGGTTACCCATTTTGAACTGAATGGATGAGCTATAAGCAAATTGATGATTGTGCATAAACATTACTGATAAACAAAGATTGAATAAATGTGTATACTAGTCGACAGAAACACTGTCTGCAATGAAATAGTTCTGTTACTACTAATATGATAATTCAGACAACAGTAATGACAACTATAGTGACATCAATAACACCACTAACAACAACAACAACAGCAGCAGCAACAACAGCAATAGAAGCAGAGACAAGCACAGTGCTGAAGGCTTCCTTAAGGCGTGCGAAAGAAGTAAGGGCAAAAAGAGGATGTGGATGAGAAGGATGAAGAGGGAGAAATTCCTAGGGGGGGGGAGGGGGGAAATTATTCTTATTCTTTATATATTTCTTACTGAAAATGCTTCTGACAAATTTGGTAAAACCTACAAAAAAAGAGAGAGAGAATGCAGAAAAATCGATAAAAGAAAGAGAGTAAACTATGCTGTTTTGTTTAACTAAAACTGATGATGCATTAAGGATTGATGGATGGAGAAGTGAAGGAATTAAAACGGCAATCACCTACCTACTATTAATTATCTTAACATTCCTTTGTACAATTGCTGTTTGAAATATGATAGATTGACTAGACAGTAGCTTCACCTATACTTTCTTAACACTATTACTACAATGAGTACATCAACTATGCAAGTTAAATAAACGTCCTGTTATTGTACAAGATTAAAAGACTCTTTTTGTAGAAGTGCAGTTAATGAAGAGAAAATAATGGAACTAATTAGCTTGTAAACATCTGAACTTATTACTGTCCTACATTCTACGTGTAATTATAGTCCTGATGACTGTCAATTAGCCATCGCATACGATCGTTTTACCAAATATCCAAGTATTTGAAAGTAAAAACTCAGTTGTAATGCACAAGTCATACTCTTAATGTGATTTAGGGTGTTCTAACTTTCTCACACTTAGGTGGTTCAATGGTGGGATGCTCACCTGCCACGCCAGATGTCCGCATTCAATTCCCAACCAACGTACTCCGAAATCACGCCTACTTTACTAGCTGATACTACTCCTGGAAAAGAAGGAAGGTTGGCCACGAGACCAGCAACCTTACACTGTAAAAGTAACACCACTGTTACTGAAACTGCAATTTTGAAGCCCACTCAGAATGAAGAAGAAATGTAACAAGATTAGGCAAACTTCTGTAAGATATTCAAGTGTAGAAAAACGTGCCTTTACTAGAGTTTGGATACAGTTAGTCCAAGTTACTGACTCGATGAATGGCCTAGTACAATTCTAGATACCGTGGATTTCCTAATTTTTTTATTTGAGTTAAGGGGCAGATGTTCATTGTTCGAATGGATCCATTAATGGGTTTCGCGTTTAATGACTCTCTCATCAGCAATTTATGACTGAAATTCGCTTTAGGTGACTAACGCTCATTTTTCCAGTGGAACTTGTGTAAGTAAGTAATGGAGTCAACAAACTTATCAGTAAGTTGTTCGGGCAACAGCCGATAGCTAAACGACTAGGAAATCTTTGCAGTATGCCCTCTAAACTCATTCCCTCTAAAATCTAATTCTATATTAAATGCACCCTAGTGAATAGAAAGTAACAGTGTATCAACATAACTTGTTGATCATGTTTGACACTCGTGACCAGGCAAAAGCCACATTGTTTATCATTGAGTGATGAATTCATGAACCGATATTTTGATGCATAGTAGTCATAAGAGTAAAGATGGAAGGAAAGCTGGGTTCCAGCGACCCATGAGTTAGTCAGTGTTCATTAGGTCATTTAAATTAAATGGTTCAACAGAAGTTTCACTCAAGAAGAAAATAAAAGCCTTCCCATGTTATTAATGATTTGACTAAGTACAGAATTAAAGAATATGGGGTGACAAAAAGCGATGAATATTAGAGAAAAGAAAGTGAGTGGTAAACGTCAATTGTAATAAAATAACTCTAATGATAATTTCGCCAGTGATTAGTATACAGGTTCCAACTTGGTAACAGGTACGAAGAAAGCTTAAAAAATGCATTAAAATAATTTAATACTGTGGTCTAATAAATATTAAAGACTAGAGTATGTAAGTGACACCTTGTCTTCTGACAGGTTTAACTTTATTTGCGTATCTGCAAACTTGAAGGAAATTGTGTCCCTTCTGAGATTCGAACCCGCGTCAAATCAGTGTGCACCGTGACGGCGAGCTACCCAGAATGGTGGCCAAATTGTAAACCTGACTGACAGAATTCAGTCTGCACCAAAAGAAAGGACTAGACACGTCACACTAGTTACTAGTGTCCAATCAAAAAAGAGCAGTAGTCTGTTGCTGAAAATAAAGTCAGTCCTGCTGAGAAGTCGCCAACTAGGACGAGACAACTGTCTAGTAGTTCCTTGGTTTCAGTGGTTTTCTAAGTGATGCCGTTTTGTGGTCTAATTTCAAACCAATCATATCTCCGCAAACCAAAATTTGAAAATTAAATGAGGAAGTTACAGATTATTTACAAATTTAAGAAGTTCGAGAGGAGAAATTGTCTCCTCCACATGCTGTGAAATGATCCCTGATGATTTAAACAAAAACTTTTAGTCTAATTTGATTTCCGTGCCTTGTGGTTTTAGTAATGTTGATGATGTTTGACTTCCAGTGAAATACATAGAATACTCAGGTGACCAAAAATGCAACGGTCTACAGTGTTTAACTTGAATCTGTTTGATATTCAGTCAGTTATCAATGTTTCTCCAGATTTTTCCCAGTTATATGGTACTTGAAGGCTTTCGTGGTCTTCAAACGAACCTTCACATCTTTCAGTGGGGCTGATTTTCTAGTTTATGGTTCATATATCTAGCCACAGTTGAGACCAGCACATCAGAAAAATTACCTACATTATTCAACATGCAGTATTCGAATATGCTGATAACTCTTTAGAGTTTGATGCATTTTAAGGAGTAGTTAGCGGCTGTATGAATGATTCATAAAGAAAATCAGAATGAAAACTCTTTTGGATGGCGAAATTTCACTCAGCAAAAAGTTGTAATCATGTAACTTGATGAATGAGTCTTCCATGCTTTTTAGTAACAAGTTGAACACAAGAAAATGGCAAAGGGATTGTAGATTCATAATTTACCTTTGAACGTTCAGTAATACCTACATAGTATTGTATAAACTTAGCTAACTTATCACGAAAACAGTGAAATGTTGTCGGAGGTTGTTGGAGATCGGATAAGAATCGATCACTAATAACTTATTATTTATTAGTAAAACGAGGTTCAAGTAAAAACTGAAATAACATGCTTTACGTTTAGGTTTTCCATACATTACAAGCAGTACACTTAGCAGGCACTACGTAAACATTTATACGGGAACATATATATATATATACTTTTATGCAGCTTAAAGTTATACTCACCAGATTTTGGTGTGACTTTTGGTGGAAGAGTAGCAACTTTGACAGCTAGACCAAAAGCATCCTTGTACGTTGTACTGTCTCTAATCAGGAAACTGCCAGGGACTTGTTGGCGTAGAATACTGATAGCTGTTAGAAATAGATGAACACAAGAGTTAAGCCATAGTTATAAAAACAAAAGATATTGAACAGTAAGATATACAACAGTATGGGAATGCAAACTTAACATATGTAGACAATAGTTTTGTTTAAAATCAAAGGACTTGCTACAATGTAGGGCATATAGGTGATGATTGAAGCAACTAATGACTATAAGCAAGTCATTCACTTACTTATTAGTCACACACAAGAAGTACTTTTAATGTAAATGTCTAATGGGAATTTAACTTTCTGTAGTTTGAACTCAGTAATTTGTCTAGAATAACAGAGATCTTCGCGCAAACCGCAAATAGGTGGCCTAGGTATCTGATATCATACTTTGCTGTCATGTCTGGGTTTCTTCTGAAATATAATGTATTACTACATTCGCCTTCGTTTGTGTGTCCAACGTGATTACAAATCATTCATTAAATTATTTATCTTGTTATGGAAGATTTCATCACGAGCTGACATCAGTTAGAGAACCACTGGAAAACCTGGGAGTACTGGCCAGCTGTTTCGTCCTAGCTTGTGACTCTTCACAGTACACACCCACCGGGATTCGAAATCAAGACCTTCTGGTTACAAGGCCTGGTTTCGAATCCCGGTGGGTGCGTACTGATGAAGAGTCCCGAGCTAGGACGAAACAGCTGGCCAGTACTCCCAGGTTTTCCAGTGGTTCTCTAACTGATGTCAGCTCGTGATGAAATCCTCCATGCAATCAAACAAAATCCCTACAAAACCAATACTTATCTTGTTATGTAATTCTAACATTCTCATTCAACTTTTTTTAATGTATTGATTGATATTAGCAACTATGATTATTTTCAAGAGTAGGTTTGTAGGGATTTGATTAGTTTTTCAAGTTTGATGATGGATCGATATCAGTCAGAGAACCGGTGAAAACCAGGCTGTACAGTTTGTGGAGATACATGGGAGACGTGAAAGGAACACAATATGAAGTCCAGAAGTACCACAACACGAAGATCTGTGCAAATGGTGCGTTGACGATAAGGTATACATAATTTCGCTATATAGCGATACCAATTTACAAATAAACAATCCTTTACCAAGTCCTTGGTCTCCTATCATTATACAGGGAGTACTGGACAGATGCTTCGTCCTAGTTATGGATTCATGGGCCACTGAGTCGGGTCCCAGTGTCTGAGTGGTCTACTAGATTACCTTATAACTGGGAGGCCCTGGTCTGGAAACCTGTTGTGTGCACACTAATGATGAGTCCCAAAGTGGGACGAGACGACTGTCCAGTGCTCCCTGCTTTTCAATGGTTCTCTAACTGATATCAGTCCGTGGTTAAACTTGAAAAACTATGATTATTGCACATCATCACTCTTGTTACTATCCCCTTTTGTGGAAAAATTGTATATAAATGTGATTGTACAGCAAAGGAAAATGAATTCGCCGAAGAGACACTCTTCATGGAACTAAGTGGTGAATACAGCGGGGATGAGTAATTCAACAATGTCTCTTAGATAAGTAACCTTATAACTAGTAGTATTATAGCTCAGTGTACTGAATGCTGAAATAATAAAAATGGACCGTATGAATCGTATCTATAAGCGTAGAACTTGGACGTTGTGATACAGTATAATTCCATGTTAGTTTGTTTATGTGATAAAGCAAATAGTGATAAGGTCTTATTTAGTGGATGGTGTTTCGAGAAAAGTTCATAAGCAATATCAAATTTTAAATTAGAATTTTTGGTTATTTAGTGCCTTATTCCTTCATTTTTATTGGCAACAGAATGTTCTCAAATATCAGCAGTAGGTGCTGAATCTTTCTGGTTGCATATATTTGATATTGATTCCATAAACAAAGATTCAGCAACCGATTTTCTCTTGACTCAGTCATATTGGAAATTTCAAGTATTGGTTTGGTAGGGATTTTGTTAGAATTCAAGAACCATTGGATCGGGTCCCACTGGCTCAATGGTCTACGAGCTCGCCTTGTAACCAGAAAGTCCTGGGTTCGAATCCCGGTGAGCGCGTACTGCTGAAGAGTCCCAAGCTAGGACGAAACAGCTGTCCAGTACTCCCAGGTTTTCCAGTGGTTCTCTAACTGATGTCAGCTCATGATGAAATCCTCTATGCAATATTGGAGATTGTTAGAAATTCACCCTCTCTCAAGTAACATAGTGTCTTCCAGTAACTAATGCTGTATTACTGTGCTCTATTGCATCTTTATAGAGTCTCATCATCTGCTGGGTATCGTCAAGACTGTATTTTAAGAAGCTGAGGTAGGTTGATGGTATACATAGAAGTGACAGTCTTAACTTCCTGAACGAAAGGTTTTCTGCGGACTAGCTAGCTTCCTCATCGTGGTAGACAACTTGGCATTCTGATGAATTCATGACTCATTTCTTGACAACTACAAATGTATGATACAGGCATCAGAAAATGCCCAGTAGCTGAAAATCTTTATTTGCTATATTAAGAGAGACTCAAAGTAACTGCATGATCAGTGCAGTGCACTAAAATTTCACGTTTCCCAGCACTTTTAGATCCAGAGATATCCTATACAATGTGGAACAAAGGCATAACTTAGGGTATTAAATATATATTAGACAAAATGTTTGCCTTTACAATCACTCACCTTCTTCCCTGGATAATTTTGGTCTATACCAGACACGAACTGTTGCATTCACATGAGCCATATTACTACTATCCACCATGTCTTGTTTCGTTTTATCCGGCTTCCATCCATTTTGCATTGGAACTTCAGTACGCTCAGACATTCGTTTAGTAGTGGTCATTACATTTAGATTACTGATAACTTTTGTTGGTCCAATAATTGTTTGTGGAGTGGTTCCAACTGAAACATGATCCACATAGGCAGCTGGTGTACCAAGACGACTAGGCGGCCGACTCTGGATTGGAGTACCTATTAAGAAATATTTTCTGATATTAAGCTGAATATATATTGGAGTTTTTAGAAAATGAAACTATAGCTGGTGTCTGTTAGAAATTCAAGCTAAGCATTTTGATATCTTTAACCCAGATTTATTGAATGACTGTTATCAACAGTTTGAATACGTATAGTAACTTGGAAAACGATTAGCCTAAAAAATTTAGGTCATTCTATCAGATCGTCATCTTCATCGACTGGTGAACTGCATCCACCGCGTTTTCCCAATTCATGGTTCATATTTAATCCTAACCAGGTAGTCGCCATTCCTTTATTCTACTAAATCACTCGTATTTCTTAGTATAAAGGTTATTTTATTTTCGTATGCTTCATTTTTATAGCTACACTAAAGTTTTATTCGTCTATATCATTCATGTAATTGAGCAGAACCTTCAGTGTTTTATCAGATAAATATATCCTAGTTCAAAAGGAACTACTATTAATATATATCAAACATGTTTTACATTATCTGGAACTGGGTCTACTAGGTATGCTATCAATGGTCACATTAGTGTATAATTGCTTAATTATCTTAAAAATTGATTCAGACCTTTTTCGATAGCCTGATAATCTAAATCTGGCCAATTAGGTTGTCATGCTCTGCATTATATAGTATGAGTATATGAGTATATTATTATGGTATCCCCTTGAGTTCTGAGTGGAACATAGGGTTTCAGCAGCCCATTTATCTTCATTTCACCCTGTTCTCTGCATTCCTTTTTATCTGGATTCGTGATTGTCCATAATCTTTCATCTCCTCCACGTCACCTTTAAACACCTTACTCGTTTTTTCCCACTCAAGTTCCACTAAACAGCCTGATGCATGATTTTAGCCGTTATTTACGTAATAAATAAAGTCAAACATATTCAATACTCTACTCTCTTTATTCCTAAAACTTACTCGATACTTGTTGAACACGATTTACAGAAATTGTATGATCCCCATCATGACTGTAGTTTTGTCGATTCAAATATCTAAAAGTAAAAGCAGATAGCAATCCTGGTTTAAAGTAAACGTCCATCACCTACTTTGCACATTAGTAAAATTTGGTTGGGAATACATTTCGCAAATGAATCAATGTTTTAATTCATTATGATTACACGCTATTTGTTTTCTGATGAATTTTTGTTATAACAATGAGGCTTGCAATAACACATGCCAAGTTGGGTCCAATTCTCTCAGCTGCAGTTAACACATCCTTCAGCAACAGTTTCACTATTTTACTATTTCTATTCATAATTTTCTCAAGCAAAGTTCTTAGAGGATAGTGTGGTGGGGGTGGTGTGTTGTATTAGCACCGAGGACCGGTTCCAGTTCTGAAAGATATCAGTTCACTGTGTTCCACATGTCCTGGAGTAATATATGAGACTGTTTTACGCTTATACTCAGTAAACTAATGAAAGACTTTTGAAGTCACTAGCTTAACATTTTTGTGTAGAAGTAATTTCCTTAAGGTAATTCTGGGACTTTAGACAGAGAACAACATGTTGGGCAAATATATCTTTCCATGGATTTTGTGACAGACAGTCAATTCATTAAGCCAATGACGGTGAGTTTGTGCATCAAATAATAATTAGATTGAAAATGGTCTATTGAAACAAGTAATAGATAAAATGAATTCTTATTTCCGTTATTTTGCTTGTACGTTTATGATTCTTGATTAGAAAGCTGATAAGAATGAAAGGTTAAAATTTAATGGTGCATATCTATCGCTCATCTTCACTTGTGAAGAAGAACATGATAGTAGACTACAATTCCTTGATGTCCAATTGAGCAGAAGAAAGGATGATTCATTCAAGAGAGATGTCTACAGAACACTTACGTCTGTAGGATAGTAAACACATTTCTTCAGTTTTATACCAACGCGAAACAAAATCAGCTTGGTCAGATGCCTTACGAATAGAGTAAGACAGATCTGTACTGATGACTCCCTAGAAAATGAACTAGGATACATCTGAAATATTCTAGTCCAAATGGGTTATCCTAACAGATTTGTGGGGAGACACATGAACACCAAGTACAGTTAGGAGAAACTGACACCGGTTAAAAAGGAACAACTTTTCCTGGAACTGTAATTTAACAGAGATGTGGCTAGTGAAGTACTTCATCTAAGATTATCGAGAGCAATAAAACGAACTTATACTGCAGCCACCCTTCGTTTGTCATTTTCCAACCAGTCAGTTATGACTGCTCGAGCAAAAGACAAGCCGCTTGTCTGTATCACTTCTATGTGTATTTACAAATTAAGCTGCTCCTGTGGAGAAAGCTATATGGGGAGGACAACTAGTCAGCTCAACAAACGTATTCCTGAGCATCTTCCTTCATGGTTCAGAAAATGCCAAGTAAAGACTATAAGAAGTTCTATTTTGTCTCATTTGATTGATAGCTGTTACCAAAGCTTTCAAAGTTATCTATCGTATTCCATCAAACCTTTCGAACAGAAATCAAACCCGCCTTTTAAATATAACCAAAGCTATGGGAATTCGAGAAAACAATCCTAGTCTTTGCATACAAAGGAGGTTTTTCCTGCCTGGACTAGGTAAATTCTAATTAAAACCCCCTGACCCCTTCTTATTTTTCATTTCCTTCATACTTTTGTGATATTTATTTAAACTGATTATTTGTCCACTTATAAGATTTGACGTAATTTATGTATTGAAATGTCTACGTACACACATATTACTACCTTCGTTATTCTGATCGCCAACTGCATAAACCTTATTATCATCATTTTTGTTATCATTATAATCATCGTTCAAAACATCTAACACTTATTGTTATTATTATTACTATTTGGTATACAAACTCACCGTCATTGGTTAAATTCTTTATGTCTAAATCTATGTAAATTAGAGTAAAGCCTGAGCAAGATCTAACTGTAAACTTTCCTCATCTTCGGCATTACAAGTGTGAAGTGTTGAATCGATAAACAAAGGTTCAGTGATTAACCTCTCTCTCTACACCTAACTATACTACTTTTTAATACTTTCACCCTGTCCCAATCTATTACGCAATTACATGCAAGTAAATGCAATGCAATGTTCAAGCTATTTTCTAGGATATTTAACTTAGCAGGATCAATCATTCTAGGTATAGCTAAATTTCTAAGTTCCAATAACTTAACTGACCACGATCCACTTAGTTTGACCTATTTAACTGACCGCACAGTCGGTTAAAGTGTGCGTGAGAATATTGTGCTGCTCAAAGAAATAACTAAGTGGTTAAAACAATAAGAATTAAGGGAAATATGACGCATTTTTTGGATGGAAGTTCTGGTAGCTAAGTGATCTAAGCAGGCTTCCAGTAATTTTCAGTGGTTAAGTAAGCATAAAACTCTTCCACTAAAACACAAATATAAGTAGTATCGTCTAAAAGAAGGCTTGGAATGACTACATTATGTAGTATTATGCAAATAAATAGATAAATGCATGAACGTTTTCATTTCGAAATCAACAGCACCATAGTATTTGCATGGTTTTCTTTGGTCAACAGCTAGTCTTCAAGATTAATGGCACCGGACTGTAATTAAGTTTCTTCTTGCTTAGGAGAGTCGTAAATGAGACATTTACACAACAGATTTTTAACTTGTCGATAAATGATTGAAAATGCCTAAGTATCACAGACTGGTTGACGTATTCATTGAAAAACGAAATTTTATGCAGTGAGGTGTTCAATTTCAATGAGTGATCTTATTTCGAATCTGAATGTTGACATTTCAACAAAACTCTAAACTTGACAACAATGCTAACAAATTTCATGCAAGTTGAACTGATATTTCAGGGAGAAGGAATGTGTTCAAAGTCACATATACATCATAGTCATGCATACTAACTAATACAGTTGGAATGTTCAAGGGTTTCATAAGAGCATACATAATGGACTGATTGTAACGCCTTAGGTGTAGCTTAATGACTTATGTCAACTACACGTATTATTCTCTACACGACCGATGGTGCTACCTCGACTGAAAGATCAAGTACCTAGACTAGCCACTTCAAATTGTATTTATCAATTCAACTAAGCTTGTTGAGTGAGTTATGTTGGCCGTTGCTCTAGGAACTTGATTTTTCGTGCTCGAGAACATATCCCACTATGGCTAAGTAAAGGTGTAGTTAAAACTATTAACAGCTCGATTTTAGACCATTTGGTGCAAACCGGTCACAAAAACAGCGTAGAAGAATCCTTCTCTATAATATACCGGGTGCCTAACAAACTACCAAAATCGTCAAAGCACCGCATACTCCAAACAGCAGAGGCTATTGCGATTCGCCTCAGACAACCAGTGCTCTGTGTGCAAAAGAAACAAGTCCAGCCCCTACTACTGCCCTGGCCCTCAGTAGAGACTATAAACTCATGAATTTGTACTATTACCTTTCCTAATTCTCCTGACATTCAGTTTATTTTATGTTGATGCTGTTCAGCTGTAATTTATCAATATTATTGATTTGATGTTATTTAAACATTAATGTCGTTCATAAGACTAATTCATTCATTCACTATAATGTATATATAATTGTAGAACCTGATGATGAATTTATCGAAAAGAATACTATTTGTTCCGTGTCTATTCTTTTGAAAATATTTAAATGACAAAATTCGAAAAAAAAGACACCACTAAAAAGAAAGACTTACTGAGTTGAAGCGAATGGCTGACGCACTAAACTTGCCCGTGAACCAGCACGTTGATGGGGATGATGATCATCAACTTGACTTAATCCTTTTGGTTGTTGTAATTGAAGAGAATAAAAAAAACAAAGAAATGTACATATATCAGTTACATTTTGAATATAAGTGGAATAAAAATAGTTTTTATTGATTAATTGGTCAACTGCTATAGAAATTTGATGCTATTATCATCAGGTAAAGAAGTTATGCAATTCAAATGCGAAACAATTTGCTGAGAAAGGCTATTAGCAATAAGGTTAATTTAAACTAAAAATTACTAAAACAAAGGAAGAAAAAAAAATTAAAACTTGGTATAACTGTTGAAGTAACTGAACATCATACAACAATCACATATCGTAGGGCAACCAATAATTCTATGGGCTTATGGTTTTTTATGACTTTTACTGACTGTATCCACTATACCACCTTCAAGGTTATTATCAAGTGAATTTAAACAGTTTAAAAAAATGAAACTGCAGAAGTATGCAGAAAATAATAGTAGTAATCTTAATGTAATGTGTTAACACTGAGTTAGATGTTGCTAAATAATTCTTGCCTCTTTTTACAAACAATTTTATTATTTATAAATTATATAAAGCCATAAATAATAATGAGCAGTATAGTTAAATGATACATAAATATATATGACAGACGTACTAGCAGCAAAATTAGGAAACACAAAGAAAAACTGCAGTTTCAGTGTATACTGTAGGCGATTTTTTTTAGTGAAAGGGGTAACTTCATTGTGAAATGTCTGGAGGCAATCGGTAGGAAGCCTTTGACCTAGGTTTCATACAAGCAACTCATGTCCCTTCCAAGATTCGAACCCTAATCACCCAATGGGTCAGTGAGAGAGACGTTACCACTGAGGTATTCAAGCTTATCCTTTTCAAAAGAATACTTCGGTGGAGGATAAAGCCACTGAAAGTCTCAAATCAAACAGGCGACTTCAATGTTTGCTACATACATAGATTTGGGTATACAAGTCGAGAAATTTGTCCCTAGTGTTTGTTAAACTCTCTCAAATACGATGGATTCGCTTGTATCTTATTATTATGAAACTTATATCACACCAGTATAACTATGGAAATATGTTCAGAAGACGAAATATAAAAACAATGAACTGAGAAAATCGGAAGTTTATCAGACAATTTACAGTGTTTTAACACTTGATGTATTCGAAAGTACGAAAATAAATTAAAAATTCAGCTGCGATGTTAACTTCTTCTAAAAAATCCGATAACTATTTTATGCCTTCGTCGGATGCTAAAGAACAGACGTAAAGGCTAAGAAACAAAGAACTCCACTTGATAACCAACCAGGCAAGAACCTATTACCTGACGAAGATATTTATTATTATTTTATTTATTGTTCCCTTGGGTTCCTAGTGGAACATAGGGTTTCAACTGCACGTCTCCACTTGCTTCTGTCTTCTGCTGTACTTTTCACTTGCATCCATGTTAGTCCATACTGTTTCAACTCTTCTTCACACGATCTCCTCCATGTCACCCTTGGACGTCCCACTCGCCGCTTCCCTTTCGGGTTCCACTCGAGCTATGGCCTGACGCGCGATGTCACCCAGCGGCCTCCTCAGCGAGTGTCCAATCCATCTCCACTTTCTCCTGCATATTTGTTGACCGATTGGTTCTTGTTTTGTTTGTTCCCATAGCTTCTTGTTGGTGATTCTTTCCGGCCATCTGATCTTCAGTATAGAGACAGCGAAGACAGTTGTTGATAAAGGTCTGCAACAGGCTGTTGGAAATATTCTTTGTGACACACTGGCCAAGTTTCTGATCCGTATAGAAGAACTGACTGACTTGACGTTTGTATTGAAAATCCGAATTTCGTTGTTGATGCTGAGTGACGAAGATTTCCAGATTGGTTTCAGGTTGATGAATGTGTTTCTCACCTTCCCGATTCTCGATTTGACATCCTCGTCCGTTCCTCCTGTAGTTGAGACAATGCTCCCTAGATAAGTGAATGAAGTAACCTCTTTCAAATCCCTCCCGTTGATGGTGATTGGCGCTGGATGTTGCTGCTGCTATTGTTGTTGTTGGTTGGTTATTTTCATAGCCTCCGTCTTGTCTATGTTCACCTGGAGTCCTGTCTTTGCTGCTTCTTCGACCAGTTTGTCGGTTTTCGCTTGTAAGTCTTCGATTTTGTGTGACATCAAACATAAATCATCTGCAAAATCGAGGTCTTCTAGGTTCTTCACATCGGTCCAGGATATCCCTGTCTTCTCGTTTCCCACTGTCTGACGCATAATCCAGTCCACCACAATTAGGAATATCATTGGTGATAATAAGCACCCTTGTCTGACTCCTGTGTTTACGTCTCGCTGAGACCTGACGAAGATACCGTCGGAAATGTAGATGAGTTGGACATGCGATGAGGAGACCGTCAACTGACATGAAATGCTAACTCCTCGAGCCAAACCGGAGTAGGAGTCGATGAGTTGCATGTTTGGTGGTGACATGGAAACTTATGACATGTAAAGAGGAAATGAGATCTTGTGGACAAACATGCAGTTAGCTTTAAACAACATCAGAGAACAGAGTTGGAATGGAGATGTGTCATTGAAGCCATGTGTTCCACTTAAAATTCAACGAATAAGTATTATATATATATATACCTGTGTTCATTGGCATTTGCATAAATATGGCAAATACTTTACATGTTTTGTTCTGTTCATTTATTTGGAGCACTAAAATTACACCCTCTGGTTTAGAAGAGACTGAATCACCAAAATTAATCCACCAGTGTTATGCAAATACTAATTAAAAATAACCGTTAGATAACCCCACTGTCATACGAGTTGGTTTCAGTAAAGCAATCAAGTTGATTCCCTCCAACTTAATCCTACTAAAGTCAGCATTAATGTTGAAAGAAAACTAATGGTTATGTTACTGAGCATTTGAAAGAATATTTCTTCACCGTTCACCGGTAATATGATTTGCTTTGTTTAGCTTTCTAGCAAGAAAAAAAACGATTGACAAAAGCTGCATTCTTAGCCCATGTATCATCAATCACCTGCATAGCTGTAGTTGATTAGAAATGCGTGAAACTAGCTGCGGCATCAGCCTAGTATGCTGTTATCTCTTATTTTGAACCACACTATGTAGATATACATGAATAGATTAGCTGGCGTACACCAAAATTTACTACTGCTGTTACTGCACTACTTATATGCATATAAATAGTTTTACTTATCAATGGTTACACACTACAGATACCAACCATTTATTTCAGTTGTAAAGACAGTCTTTCCAGGTTCGATTAAATCTGATGCATCATCAACAGCATTACTATTATGATTACTGTTATCCTCGATATACTCATCAGTATTATTGGATGAACACGGAGAAATATCAGAATGACCATTCGCTGGTTGGACAGTCTTTGATTTTTCAGGCAATGTCCATAATTTCAAACGTTCAGGTGGTTTTTTCATAGAGACGACTTTTTTCGAGTTAACTAACTCAGATTCATCCATGTCTAGATGATTGTTCAACAGGATACTTTCTGTATGTGTTTCAAACTTTTTAATATCTTTTTTCGTGATAACTACAGGATGTGAATTATTATTATTTAATTTTTTAGGATATGGTGTTAAAGTTGTCGGCAGGTTATTCACTTCCAATACTTGAATTTTTGCCATCTGTGTGTTAGGCATCAAGTCTTCATGGTTAACACGTTCTAATGGTGAAATGTTCATGTTTCTTTGACTTTTCCATGACTTACTAGTTGGAGGCGGTGATGTACTCAGTCGTCTTGGTAATGCTGACCATAAAGGTGAGCCTCTAACGTCACGACCTGGATCAGGTGAACGTGATTTCAGTACGGGATATGTTTCACCGGAACCACCAAAAGTAGACTGAGATTTTTGTAGACCAGGAGAAAATCCTTTACTATGTCCACTATATCGAGTAGGTGTTGTACTCTGCGCTCGGTTAATAGGATATGCTGGTGATGCACTGGTGGTGAGTGCAATGTTGGTGTTCGAACAGTATGCTTATGAACTTTGTCACCAGTGAGTGGGCAGTTAGTGTTTAAATTTCCCAAAATAAAGATTTTTTAAAAATAAAACAAAATTATGTATATTGAATATAGTAGTATATAAGAAACGTTTATTATTTTTTTGTGCACACCAAGATTGTTAGGTATTAAAATCAGTGAGTTAAGTATGATTAGTATTGGAGAAATAGAAAAAAAAGTAAAGAAAAACATTAAATAGATGAGCAGGAATTCAATAAAAAGAACATAATAATAATATAATGATAATGATAATTGATTTTTTTCACTTTTAATAATTTATGCATAAATTAATTTCAAGTGACTTTTTCTCATAATACCCTATTCAAGGAATGAAGTGATCTCCTTGATGAATTAGGCTTTTATTAATGGATGGTGAGACTATTTGGGATCGTAATAGAGAAGATCTAAAAGGCATGACTCATAAATGACAACTAGACATTATTCGTGATAACTACATTGAGTTGATGTCCTGGTTGGCTTCTGGGTATTATAATTGAGCTGGTAGGATGTCTTACAAGTAGTCTGTAGTCTGGTGGGTTAGAGTAGAATTTAGAGACCTAAGTAAACGACCATCAAAAGGACCTCGAACAACCAATCAGATGAATTCATTGTACTCTTTGGATAATAGGTTTATGGGAATGAATAAAACTTGTCCATGTGGAGGAGTAACGAATTTGCAGAAATGTGCAGCTGCCTTTGATAGATATGTATACAGATGTCCGGATTGTCATTGTAGAAAATCCGTACGAGAAGGTATGTCGTTCCTGTTTCAAGTGTATCGGTGCTTCAGGTAATGTTTTCGTGATGTTAGAATTGTCTCTATTCAAAACCATCATTGTGTGTCAGAAGTGGATATGATATACAGTCATCTGGATGAATTCATGTAGCGACATTGGTTTTGACTAACAATTAGGACTCCAGTGAGCAACTGGAAGACATTCTTAGAACACATAAGGGATGGTTACCCTGTATGACTCATTTTTACCTCTTGCTTTGAATACAATAGAATATTCCTTT